TTTAGTATATTTTGATGTAGTTTAAATTTTTTGAGTAAGTAATTTGATCTAATTAAAGGTAAAATAATGTAAATTAGTAATTTAGTTAGATTAGTTTTTAATATAATTTAACTTCTTAAACATGTAGTGTAATGTAGTAAATAGTAATGTAGTTTGATATAAAGTTTAATTGGTAGATAATATTAAATTTAGTATATTTACTTGATGAATCTTAAACCTTAAAGAACTGTGGGTGGTTTACACTGTTTTAAGTTTGTATCTAATATTTTTGAATAACGAAAAGTTTGTCTTCCTTCATGAAATTCAAAATTGGGTTCACGGATTGTAAAATTAGATGTCACTGAACAATTTTTGCATCACAAAAAAATCAATAGAAAGGTTCCTTCGTCACTCATAATTAATTTGAGGGAGTGACTTACATTCAATAACCTCTATTAAACTCTGCGCAAGATCCATATAAATTTGGGGAAAACACAGTCACTTAATTGATAAATACATATATTTTACTTTAACCTATGTCTAGGTAACTTCATGTTTCAGAAGCAGGTGTTAGAGAATTAAAATGCTAGATTTGTGGTATATTACATTGATAGACAGCAACAAATACATCGCTGATTCATCAATTATCAAACATGCTTACAAGGGTGAAAGAGAGAAAAATAAAAGGCATTTAAACTTCCCATTTTGAAGTGCTTCAAAAATAATGATTGATAGGACATAATTTTTTTGAATAGGGAGCTCCCACTTTTAAAATCATTATGCACTCTGTGCAAATCTCATGCACTTCAGAATGAATAGTTTTCATGCCAGGTATACACGAGGTGGTTCAACAAAGCATACCTATATATGCATGAAATCACCATTGTTCTCCCAAAGCAACAAAATATTTTTTAATGGGATAAGAATAATCTAATACTTGCTTCACATAATATGAATTGAAAACATGCTTCATATGATATGAGAAAAAAATGTAGGCCTTCAAAATATTTTAAATACTCAAATCATTACCTTTTAAAAAAAATAATGGAATCTGAATTGTTGCATTTTAAATTGTATAAAGGAAATATGTGTACTTTATTTCCCGTATATATTTCCTGATCTCATTCAAGATTATAAAGCAAGCCTTCTACAAGACTAAAAAGTAAAATTACAAAGAGACTTCTACTAGTTTCTACCTTTGTTATCAACTCAGGAGAGGCTTAAAGGAGCTACACAAAGAAAATTTACTAAAAACTGATAATTAGAACAAATTACATATGGATGGAAAGATTTTCTCTTGAAAAACACGAATAATTTGCTGAGAAATCATATAGATATCGTCGAAAGGCGTAAAATGCAATTTTTCAAGACCCTTCTTAGACCCCAAGCGCCCCCGAACATAAGCCAAACACACGAGCGTAGCGAGCTCTGAATAGTGACGTCACACCCTGGACAAACAGCTCGGTACCGGCTGCTAGCTTCCGCTTGGTCTGTCTAGCTGCAGACCAAGCGGAAGCTAGCAGCCTTTTTTTAACAGCCGTGTCCAGGGTGTGACGTCACAATAGTGACGTCATACAAAGAACTACGACAAAATACGAAAAAATACGAATAGGCAGTAAATCTGGATCTCAAAACTAACATTTTTGAAAGTTGATTTCTGCGGGCCCCAAACATATTTTGAAGAGGAAATTTGTTGTATTTGATTAGTAAGGCTTTCCCTTCGCAATGATATGAATTTTGCATCAATTCAATACACTTTTGCTTCTTGGTGTGACTCCTTTAAGTCTGCACTTGCCCATAATATCTGTTTTATCCTGTAGGCTTGGCTTGCCCTGTGCTGTGTCAAGTGTCTTAGATTCCTCATTTGTTAATTAATACATCTTTTGTTTGTATTAAACTCATGGGAGGATAATATTACAACTCTTCAAACCACCCCCAACAAAAATCCCTCAAGGCAGGAGAGACAAAATGGGTTGGGCAGGGTCAGTTTTAAAAATCACATGATAGAAATGATAGATAGAAAATGGGTCACACTGACTTGACTTGTGGGTCACCCTAACAGATCTTGCCTTGCCTATATCTGAATGCTTCACTTGCCCATTATATCTACCTTGTCCTGTAGGCTTGGTTTGCCCTGTGCTGTGTCAGGTGTTTGAGATTTCCTCGTTTTCTGATTTAAACATCTCCGGGAGGTGGGGGTAGGCGGTGAAAATCTGAAGAGAAGAGACAAAAAGGGTTTAATAGGCAGGGTCAATTTAAAAATCACATGATTAAAAAAGAGAGAGAGAAAATGGGTCACACTGCCTTGTCTTGTGGGTCACCTTAACAGAGCTCGACATGGCTTGCCCTAAGCCATTTCAAATGTCTGAGGTTCCTTTTTTTCTAATTCATACATCTTTTATCATGATTGATGTTAAACTCAGGGGAGGCTAAAATCTTCAATTTTAGCCGGCCAGGCTCCCTCTGGGATGCAACCCTAGCTTGAATCTGTATGGGCTGTGAAGGGGGAACTCTGTTTCAGCCCTAGGATCAAGTGGCTTCGGCTCCTGGCTTTTTTATGACATATATTTATGTCATGTTTAATTTCTGCCCAAGCGACATTTGCTCAAGTCCTTTTTTCTGTCAGAGATATGGGATTAAGACATGGCTTTCAATTGCAATTTAGGTTTTAGGCTGTAGGTTAGTTTAGATTTGTTGAACAGCATTAATTTTGTTCCCGATAGTATGCCAGGAACGGGTAAACAACCCCAGTACTTGAATTCCTGCATTAGATCTACAGGTGTTCATTTCCGATAAATACGTTAGACAATAGACTTTTTTGGGGGGACTTGACATTCTCGCGGTGCTGTAGGCTCCTCTCATTTTCTTTGGTACCTAGTTAAAATCACTCTATATATATTGTGCTTTGTCATTGGTTATATTTAAATTAAATTTATAACTCCTTTCTCCATTGGTAGATTGAACTGGTTTAGAGGTCAGGTAATTTTATATATCCCATCTTGTGATTGGTTGTCTTCATAAGGGTTCTCCTGATTGGCTAATAAGATCATGTGATTTTTAAGCCTTCTCGGGTGCCTGAGTATGTAAATGCCATGTGAGGTATTTTGTAGCTCAGTTTATTTCATTCCGTTCAATCTATAGGGCCACCCATCCTCTGAGAGGATCAGCTATTTTAAAAAGTTGTTAAATAAATAATCTTTGTTTGAACTACTGGAGCTTCGGCTCACTTTATATAGATAATTAAGTGGACTTCAACTGTATATCCGAGCTTCTTTCGTTTTCATTTTGTTTCTGAACTCGTTGTCACCGACCCATTACGGGCCCAGTTTGCAAACCAGTTTACTAACTGGTAGTATGTCTTTAACATTTTGTCAACACAATGAACCTCTTGCCATGGGTATAGGCCAAATAAAAAGGAAGAAAAGATAATTATCTTAAATATGAATTTATATATACATGTATATACAAAGAATGCATTCCAGTTATTTATATCTCATGATGCATTAACTCCAGGGAGCTCCGCCGCCGAAGGTGTCGGAGCTCCAGATCCTAAACCGGGAAACGATTCAAACAGCGGGTTTGGTCCTTTTTGGGGTGAAATCTAAAAGAGTTGTAATTAAAATTTAGACTTACAATGTTTTTTTACTCCTGGTTGACCGGATGCCCAGAGGAATAAAAAAACATTCAAGCCTACGTTTAAATACCGGTAACTACTTTTTTAGATTTCCAAAAAAATAGGACCAAACCCGCTGTTGAAATAATTTCCCAGTTCGGGATCTGGAGCTTCAACGCCTTTGGCGGCGGAGCTCCCTGGCGTAAATATGCATATGACTAGATGCATATGACTGTAATTGTGTTAACGCACGATGATGTGTATATGTACAGCAGGGCAGCTGTGAGATTATTTGTGTACAACTATACGTCTACGGACATCTTTTGTATCTCATCTATTCATTATGTAAACAAATATATTTTTTTGATGTAATTGTGTCAACGCACGATGATATGTACAGCAGGGCAGCTGGAAACCCTGTGTGAGATTATTTGTGTACAACTAAATATATGTGCAATATTGACGAAGACTTATATCTTAATCTATCTCACATGAAATAACGGACAAAAAAATACAAACAAAATTCAAAATAAAGAAAAAGTAAAAAAAAGAAAGGTGTTTTTACGATAAAGGGAACAGCAGGCCATTAACCTGCATTTATATTTATTACTTTTTTCATACATTTTTTGTATTTATCTATTTTTTGTGGGGTTTTTTTTCACAAAAAAGTGAGTGTCCAAGTGAACGTGAGAAAGGATTTGTAGCTCTTCTCTTCCTTTTTATTTGGCCTAAGTACATCTCCAGTATCTCATCTATTCATTATGTAAACAAATATTTATTTTTGATGTAATTGTGTCTACACACGATGATATGTATTTCTTCTTCTTTTTCTTCTTCTTCTTCTTCTTCTTCTTCCAGTATTGTACTTGTGTCTACGGACATCTTTTGTTCCTCATCTATTTATTATGTAAACAAATATATATTTTTGATGTAATTGTGTCTACGCACGATGATTGATTTGTATATGTACAGCAAGGCAGCTGTGAGATTATTTGTGTACAACTATATGTCTACGGACATCTTTTGTTTCTCATTTATTCATTATGTAAACAAATATATATTTTTGATCTAATTGTGTCTATGCACGATGACATGTATATGTACAGCTCGGCAGCTGTGAGATTATTTGTGTACAACTATGTCTACGGATATCTTTTGTATCTCATCTATTTATTATGTAAACAAATGTTTATTTTTGATGTAATTGTGTCTACACACAATGATATGTATATGTACAGCAAGGCAGCTGTGAGATTATTTGTGTACAACTATGTCTACGGATATCTTTTGTATCTCATCTATTCATTATGTAAACAAATATATATTCGATAGGATTGGAGAATTTCGTACCACACATCACTTGACAGTTGACCCCAACGTTCCAAGTCATGTCGACGCTCCTAGAAAGATGCCTATTGCCTTGAAAGACAAAGTCAAGGCAGAACTGGACAGTATGGAGAGCCAGGGTGTCATCAAGCAAATCATCGAACCAACCGAATGGGTGAACTCAATCACATATGTCACCAAGAAGGATGGAAGCATTCGCATTTGCTTAGATCCTCGCAGATTGAACAAGGCACTTATCAGACCTCACTACAAACAGCAGACCTTGGAGGAGTTGAATCACAAGTTTCACAACATGCAGCACTTCTCCAAGTTAGATGCAAAGTGCGGCTACTGGTCAGTTAAGTTAGATGAGGCCAGCCAAAGACTTACCACATTCCAGACACCTTTTGGAAGATATGTCTTCTGTCGCCTACCATTTGGACTCAGTGTAAGTCAGGACATTTTCCAGTTGGAGATGGACAGAGTTCTAGAAGGCTGTAAAGGGGCAGAATGCATAGCAGATGATATCGTAATCTTTGGGCGTACAGTAGAAGAGCATGACCGCAACCTTCTCAACTTCATGCAAGTAGCAGCAAAGAGAGGCCTCACACTGAACTCAAACAAGTGCCATATCAGGCAAACGAGTATCAACTTCTTTGGTAATCGATACTCAAAGGATGGTATCCAGCCAGATCCCCAGAAGGTAGCTGACCTCGCAGGAATGCCGACTCCGAGCACCAAGGCTGAGTTACAGCACTTCCTAGGTTTCATTACTTACCTATCTCACTTCATCCCAGATTTCAGCACAAAGACTGCAGTTCTGAGAGATCTCCTTAAGAAAGAGGCTGATTTCATCTGGGAACCACATCATCAAGCAGCCATGGAGAAACTCAAGCAAGAAGTTTCAGAGAAATCACTACTCCAGTTCTTCGACACAACATCCCCAGTGTATTTGCAGTGCGATGCAAGTCTTCAAGGGTTAGGAGTTGCACTCCTACAGCATGACCAGGAAGGTAGACTCCGCCCAGTAGCTTACGCAAGCAAAGCCCTATCTTCAACTGAAACACGCTATTCGTGTATTGAACGAGAGCTGCTTGCTATTTTGTTCGGAGTAGAACGTTTTCACACATATCTCTATGGAAGGCTATTCCATGTGATCACAGACCATAAGCCACTTCTGATGATTATGGACAAACCTCTCACGGCAGCCCCTCCAAGGCTACAAAGGATGTTGATTCGACTACAGGGATACAACTTCCAGATCACACACCGTCCAGGACTAGACAACCTGCTCGCAGACAGTCTCTCACGATTACCAAGCACTCACAACAATGAAACAGTTGAACTTGATCTGAGAGTAGATCTGGTGCAATTCTCGTCAAGGAAAGTAGTTGAACTGAAACACACTACAAGACAAGACAAAGTCCTAAGTGCACTGATGGAAGTTATTGTGACGGGCTGGCCTGATACGGTGAAGCGAGTGCAACCAGAGTTGAGAGAGTTCTGGAGTTACCGAGATGAGTTAACAGTAAGCGACGGTATAATTCTCAAGGGAAGCAGAGTTGTCATTCCCAAGCAGATGCAACCAGACATCTTGGAAAAGCTCCATACCAGTCACCTAGGCCAACAAAAAACCAAATTGCTGGCCAGAGGAAAGGTGTTCTGGAGTAACATGAACAAAGACATTGACAGAGTGGTGCAGTCATGTGTGAGATGCCAGGAACATCAACCAGCGCAAACGCCAGAGCCACTCCAGCCACACGACATTCCCACGATGCCCTGGAACACGGTGGCAACCGACATGTTTGAATTCAAAGGCAAACAATGGTTAATTGTGGTGGACTACTACAGCAAGTACCCAGTGGTTCGCCAGTTACCAGACCAAGCAACAAGCAGTGCTGTAATCACTATGATGCAACAAGTGTTTGCAGAGCATGGCATACCAGCAAAGGTGGTGAGCGACAATGGACCCCAGTATGCCAGTTACCAGTTCAAGTCGTTTGCAGAGTCATGGGGTTTTGAACATGCTACATCGTCCCCCAGACGACCACAAGGCAACGGATTTGTAGAGAGACAAATCAGAACCATCAAGGGTATCATGAAGAAGACTTCAGACATTCAGCTAGCACTACTTCTTTGGCGTACAACTCCCATATCAGAGAAGCTACCAAGTCCAGCTGAAGTTCTCATGAATCGCCAGTTGAGAACTACACTCCCAGCCAAGTTGCAGAGAACACAGCCAGATGCTGATGACATCTACAATCAGCTGCAGGAAAGACAGAATAGTCAAAAATTCTATTTTGACAAACATGCCAGAAGAGCTGACTTGCCAGAGCTTTACCTTGGGCAAGATGTACGATACCGCGACCCAGTGTCCAGACGGTGGTGTCCTGCAACAGTTGATACCAGGGCCAAGGGACAGCGCTCCTACATTCTCCAGAGCCCTGAGGGAAGTTACCTACGAAGAAACAGGCAGCACATAAGACCTGACCATACCGACCAGTCTACAACTGAGGTTCCCAGGGGTGATGATAGCAACGGTCCAGGTGATGAAGGTGCCTCATCCACTGACCACGATGAGCAGTTGAGCACTCCACATCGTGCATTTCCCGAACCTCGAAGCAGCCCAGGACGGGAGGAGGCTCCACCTCGAAGCCCAGGACGGGAGGAAACTCCACCTCGACGACAACGTTCATCGCGAAACACCCAACGCCCTAAAAAGTATGATGATTTTGAGATGTAACTGATGAAGAAGCGCAAATTCAGGCTGAACTCAATTTCTTAAGACAATAATGACTCAGTTGACATTCAGTTATCAACCAAGTTCAACATTGGATCACATCAATGTAGGGACACGGGTGGTAAAGACCTGTGATCGAAGGTGAAGTTCTGGAACCTCTCCCTTCTTAGTCGCGAAGAAAGTATATATCTATATATATGTTGTTGTTTTTTTTTTTTGCTATTTATTTCAGTACAATATATTGTTCCATTGTTTTCATACAACCAAAAAGATTGAAAACTGTTGTCTATCATTGTGCAAACTCACACAGGAAAAGAGATAAATGCATCAAGTGTTATGTAAATCTTAATTGTGCAAAAATGTTCACATTGACATGATTTAATTGAAAGAGGTATTACAAACATACAAATCTAATACCAAGGTTCACATGAATTACATGTAACTGTGAACTGTATACTAAACAGAAGTAACTTTGTTTGTTTTGGTACTCATACATGCTAAAGGAAAAACAATGTGTTGTGTATAAAAGCAAAGTGAATTTTATTTCATTGATTTATACAGTTTGGTATACAATGTGACAAACCAGTCGTTAGAAAATGATATAGTTTAAAGAATAATGAGAAAAACTGTATTTATGCTGATGATCAAGGTAACCCTTTCCAGGTGAAAAGCATCATTTTTGTTTTACGACTTGTATACTGGATGTGTAAAACCAGTTGATAGGTATCATCCTCACTCTTTTGAGGATTCTATTTTTTTTTAAAAATTTGTTTAAATGGGGAGTAGGGGAAAGGTTGAACAGAATTTATTTTCAAGATATTTGTCAAGTGCTAAATTTGTAAGTAAAACAAGAAGCAAAGGTGGACGGGATGAGAGGATGAAAAGTTTTTAACTGTTAAGAGTAAAAACTTGTATTGTTTATTTTGAAGAAAGGGAGATGTAATGTTATGAGCTGAAGTTATGCAGCACTCCTATTTGAATATAACTTACACCTGTATGTGCTCATTGTTAAACAGCCATGCACATTCATTCAGAAGCAACCATGCAGAAAGCACTCTTCAATACAGTACTCTTGGCACACAGAGTGTGTGATGTATTTAATGAGTAATTAGCCATGCACACATTCAACCCTCATACACTGCCTTATGTACTGGACATGTGAGAGTGGTAAGTTGCACTTGACCACTAGCATGCACAGCATAAGCACGATGTTTTAGTTACACCAATAAACTCCTGAACCTCAAGCAAAGATATGTGGAGTTTTATTACTTTCTGGATCCAGCTACATTTAGTAAAGTACTAACCAAGAAGTCTACATAACAAACCCACTATTTTTGACATGGTGGCAGAGCTGAAGTTATGCAGCACTCCTAATTTGAATATAACTTACACCTGTATGTGCTCATTGTTAAACAGCCATGCACATTCATTCAGAAGCAACCATGCAGAAAGCACTCTTCAACACAGTACTCTTGGCACACAGAGTGTGTGATGTATTTAATGAGTAATTAACCATGCACACATTCAACCCTCATACACTGCCTTATGTACTGGACATGTGAGAGTGGTAAGTTGCACTTGACCACTAGCATGCACAGCATAAGCATCATGTTTTAGTTACACCAATAAACTCCTGAACCTCAAGCAAAGATATGTGGAGCTTTATTACTTTCTTGACCCAGCTACATTTAGTAAAGTACTAACCAAGAAGTCTACATAACAAACCCACTATTTTTGACATGGTGGCAAGCGGTGAGTGCAAGTCTTCAACGTGCCAGTTTTTTGTGCCAGACTACCAGTACAGTACCATGTGCTACACAGCAGCAGCCATCTTGGATTTTGCAACACAGCAGCAGCCATTTTGGATTTTTCCTTGTTCAGGAGAGACACACAGGACTTTGTAGACACCATTATTCCATGAACAGTTAGTTTGTTTGATGCCTGAGGGTTAGTGGCGACACATTCCAGCATTTTGTTCCTTATTCTGAAGCACAGCATTGAAGTAACATTAACATGGCTGATCATATTCCACGAATGGATTGGGGTGCACCAAACCTTGCTGAAGCTTTTCGTATGTTCAGACAGAGATTGAGCCTATACTTTTTGGCTAAGCACACACCTAAAGAGGATGAAGTACCTATCATTCTACTTGCTGCGGGTGAAGAGGGGCTTCAGCGATACAATTGTTGGACATTATCAGAGTCTGAACAGACAGCAAAGATCATCCTAGACCGTTTTGAGGAGCAACTAGAACCTCAAGACAATTTTCGAGTATGTCGGCTGAAGTTGTCAAGAACAATGCAGAGGCCAGATGAAAAGTTGGATGATTTCATAAACAGATGTCGACAGATAGCTCGTAAATGCGAATTTGATCACAAGGAGTTGGATGAGAGAATCCTTGAACAGATTATTGCCAGCACACCCATCGCAGATTTCCGGAAAGACCTACTTACTACAAAGAAGGACTTTACACTACAGGGTGCTCTACAGCTAGGGAGGACGTATGAAGCATCAAAGTCACATGTCCAAACCCTCCAGTCTCTGTATCATCCAACACAGAGCATAGATGCAGTGCAACAGCAGAAACAACCTAAGAGTTTATGTAAGAACTGTGGGAGACAACATAGATTCGGCAAGGAGTATTGTCCAGCAGCGAGTGTTACATGTTTCTGGTGCAATAAGCAAGGACATTATGCTCAATTGTGCTTATCAACCAAGCTCAAACAACCACAAAAATATCATAAGTCTTATGCTTCTTCCCGGAGGAAGAGGGGAGTAGAGGAACGCCAACACCCATCACGACGTTCCAAACAGGTGGATAACGTGCGAGAGGAACACACCGAATCTGACAGTGAACTGGGTACGTTACCACAACGATTTGACAGGTTTCATTTTGACACGATTGTCATCGACTCGGTGAAGAGGAATGAAGCTATTGCACACTTGGACATCAAATTGAAAGACAAACCAGGTGTCCATGACCTGAAAGTAAAAGTGGATACAGGAGCAGAAGCGAATACACTGCCACTTCGAACTTTCAGAAACATGTATCCAGAGCAGCTTGATCGTCAAGGTTTTCCACGAAATCTACCAGATGCAGGCACAATCCTTTCAGCTTACAATGAAACGCTGATTGGTCAGTATGGGACAGTTGTTATTCCCTGCAAGTATGGAGACACAGCATGGACTGATACCTTCTTCTACGTGGTTCAGTCCAACGGCCCAGTGATACTTGGTCTCCAGTCATCTGTAGAGTTTGGACTTGTTACTCTCCATTGCTCTTTGAACATTGAAGCACAAGTCAGTGGTGTCCAGGCTCTAGTACAACTCTTTCCACAGCAGTTCGATAGGATTGGAGAATTTCGTACCACACATCACTTGACAGTTGACCCCAACGTTCCAAGTCATGTTGACGCTCCTAGAAAAATGCCTATTGCCTTGAAAGACAAAGTCAAGGCAGAACTGGACAGTATGGAAAGCCAGGGTGTCATCAAGCAAATCATCGAACCAACCGAATGGGTGAACTCAATCACATATGTCACCAAGAAGGATGGAAGCATTCGCATTTGCTTAGACCCTCGCAGATTGAACAAGGCACTTATCAGACCTCACTACAAACAGCAGACCTTGGAGGAGTTGAATCACAAGTTTCACAACATGCAGCACTTCTCCAAGTTAGATGCAAAGTGCGGCTACTGGTCAGTCAAGTTAGATGAGGCCAGCCAAAGACTTACCACATTCCAGACACCTTTTGGAAGATATGTCTTCTGTCGCCTACCATTTGGACTCAGTGTAAGTCAGGACATTTTCCAGTTGGAGATGGACAGAGTTCTAGAAGGCTGTACAGGGGCAGAATGCATAGCAGATGATATCGTAATCTTTGGGCGTACAGTAGAAGAGCATGACCGCAACCTTCTCAACTTCATGCAAGTAGCAGCAAAGAGAGGCCTCACACTGAACTCAAACAAGTGCCATATCAGGCAAACGAGTATCAACTTCTTTGGTAATCGATACTCAAAGGATGGTATCCAGCCAGATCCCCAGAAGGTAGCTGACCTCGCAGGAATGCCGACTCCGAGCACCAAGGCTGAGTTGCAGCATTTCCTAGGTTTCATTACTTACCTGTCTCACTTCATCCCAGATTTCAGCACAAAGACTGCAGTTCTGAGAGATCTCCTTAAGAAAGAGGCTGATTTCATCTGGGAACCACATCATCAAGCAGCCATGGAGAAACTCAAGCAAGAAGTTTCAGAGAAGTCACTACTCCAGTTCTTCGACACAACATCCCCAGTGTATTTGCAGTGTGATGCAAGTCTTCAAGGGTTAGGAGTTGCACTCCTACAGCATGACCAGGAAGGTAGACTCCGCCCAGTAGCTTACGCAAGCAAAGCCCTATCTTCAACTGAAACACGCTATTCATGTATTGAACGAGAGCTGCTTGCTATTGTGTTCGGAGTAGAACGTTTTCACACATATCTCTATGGAAGGCTATTCCATGTGATCACAGACCATAAGCCACTTCTGATGATTATGGACAAACCTCTCACAGCAGCCCCTCCAAGGCTACAAAGGATGTTGATTCGACTACAGGGATACAACTTCCAGATCACACACCGTCCAGGACTAGACAACCTGCTCGCAGACAGTCTCTCACGATTACCAAGCACTCACAACAATGAAACAGTTGAACTTGATCTGAGAGTAGATCTGGTGCAGTTCTCGTCGAGGAAAGTAGATGAACTGAAACACACTACAAGACAAGACAAAGTCCTAAGTGCACTGATGGAAGTTATTGTGACGGGCTGGCCTGGTACGGTGAAGCGAGTGCAACCAGAGTTGAGAGAGTTCTGGAGTTACCGAGATGAGTTAACAGTAAGCGACGGTATAATTCTCAAGGGAAGCAGAGTGGTCATTCCCAAGCAGATGCAACCAGACATCTTGGAAAAACTCCATACCAGTCACCTAGGCCAACAAAAAACTAAGTTGCTGGCCAGAGGAAAGGT